AGAGAGAGAGAGAGAGAGAGAGAGAGAGAGAGAGAGAGAGAGTGCGCGTGCGTGTGTGTGTGTGTGCGTGTTTGTGTGTATGTGTTTGTGTGTGTGTGTGATATATATATATATCGTCACAAATATATATATATATATATATATAGATAAATAGATAGATAGAGAGAGAGAGAGCTGCAACATGCAGCATGTCAGTGGCGGGAGCACAAGGGCAGGCGCTGACCTCCAACAAAAAGAAGTAATTTTATTGGAATACAAGAGGTTTTTCTTTTCGAAATCCGAATAGAAAGGGTACAGATTGTATTCGAATACAACGTGTAGGACCTGCATCGTTTCAATTTCGAAAAAGGACTACCCGCACCGTTTCAATTTCGAAAAAGGACTGCGGCCTCCTCGCCCTCCTACTCGCAGCTACCGGTCCTACGCGTTCCTGGCCCTTGCAAGGCCCCAAAACCTCAAATGCCCACCCTCCCGACGACCACCGACATTGAAATTGATGTTGAACGTTGAATGTCTCAGGGGGGGAAAGCGCATCCATGACGGGCTGCGAACTAGGCCGATTGGGCCGAAGTGGGTGGGCTGGGCATGAGGCTGTAGGCCTGGGTCCACACCGTTTCATATTTGAATTTCAAGGACCTGCGGCCCTCACGCCGTTTCAAAATATTTTAGACCACGGCCATCTACCGGTTCCCAGGAAAATGCCACGGGCAATGCTCGAAGTGCGCCCCCCCCCCCTAAATGCCAGTGCCTTTCATTTTACCAGCCTTTGAACGACCAATGGGCCCGAATGAACGACCGGTATAACGACGACGAAAATGTCTCAGGGGGGGAAAACGGAACCCTGACGGGCTGCGAACACCACCCTTCCAACTACCACACGGGTTGGTGACGACGAAGAAAAAAAATGTCTCAGGGGCATAAAACGCACCCCTGACGGGCTGCGAACAATGTGTGTGGAAAGGTACATGGGGGACACCCTGCAATACCAGCCATTTTCGGAAATTGGGACTCGGTCCTGATTGGGCCGTCAATCAACACCTCACATCAGTGTGTGCACCCGCGACTACAAGCGAAGGCACGTTTGGCCCTCACATCAGTGTGTGCACCCGCGACTACAAGCGAAGGCACGTTTGGCCTTCTAGCATGTGCGACATCGTCTCGAATAGCGCTTGAGGGCGTGCGGCGTGTGCGACAGAACACCGGGACCTGGATCTGAGCTTGGGCTGTAAGCAGGCGCGAAAAGCTGCGTTCGGTGCCGCGGGAAAAACAAGGGGGAGGGGGCGGGGAGTGTTGGGGGGGGGAACTGGTAGGGGAACAGCGGGCAGGAAGTAATGGTTGGTCATGGTGCAGAGGGGGTGACGTGTCCTGGGCTCCGGATGAAAAAGGGTCGCCACGTGGATCTGGTGAGGGGCTGGCGAAGCGCAGTGTTAGGAGCTGGTCGGGTTTGGTCGAGGCGCGATGCCGTCGAGCCGCAGTAGCTTGTTGCTTGGCCCGTGATGGCTGGGGTGAGGGGAGAGAAGGCAGGTCCTCTTGCGCCGGAAAGGCCGGGAGGGAGGACCGCTCGCCGGCGTTGATGGGGACTGTGAAGATACAGAGAGGAGCCACGTGGCTCCGCCTACGTGGGTCATTCAAAGCTGTGTGTGTAGATAAGGCCATCATACTCACGGATGGATGATGCCGCGCGGTGGGTCTTTTTCTTGATTTATTAACAGCCAGCCTCTGCCATCGTTGGGGAGATTCTCACCTAAAGAATTCAAAGATTCTGACTGAGATGTCAACGCGCTCAGAGCGTACTCACTCTACCGGTAGTAGGACTTTTCTGCATGTGTCTGACCGCAATTACGGCGCGGCGTTGGTGTATCTGACCTCAAGTACGTCCAGAGCTGAGTGCAAAATGTCCTAGTATGAGTATGGCCTTGGAGAGGACACGTGCGCGCCTCGTTGGCATTGAGAAGCTCCAGAAGGGCAAATCGTGAATTGGGGGCGGGGGGGGCAGAGAGCGACGTGAACGCGCGCATCTGCGGGGAGAAAGAGAGAGGGATACGTTTTTGGATCGCCGCGAGGGGCAGGGCGGGGGAAGCGCGGCGCACAGAGAGCCACGTGAACACGCGCACATCCGCGGGGGCCGAGAGAGAGAGAGAGAGAGAGAGAGAGAGAGAGAGAGAGAGAGAGAGAGAGAGAGAGAGAGAGAGAGAGAGAGAGAGAGAGAGANGAGAGAGAGAGAGAGAGAGAGAGAGAGAGAGAGAGAGAGAGAGAGAGAGAGAGAGAGAGAGAGAGAGAGAGAGAGAGATGTTTTCAGGATGGGCGCTAAAGCGGGTGTACAAATTTGTGCTGAAGAGGTTATTAGGCCGTCTTCTGAAGAACGAGCTAGATCTAAAGCAGTTGGAGGTACAGCTGGGAGCAGGAACGTTGGAGTTGCGGGACCTGACTCTGGACACCGATTACCTTAACGACCAGGTGCGTAGAATGGACTCGACTCTATTCCACTTCACTCAAGTTGATTTACTATTACCGAGTGCCAAGAACACCTAAGGCCATCCTGGGCTGAGAAGGCCACCCTTTTTTTTTTTTTTTTTTTTTTTGTAAGAATGATCACTCTTTCAGATTAGACAGAAGATCGAATTTACCTGGGGTGGCTAGTCCGATTATTAAATCTCAAGGCCATCGGTCCGTTTTGTGAAGGAAAAAAAAGAACACAACAAAAAAAACGCGTCTAAACAGAAGTAACAATTTGAAAGTTCAGCAGTGGGAAAGAAGAGCGTAATTCTTGAAAAGAAAAAGATAATAGATCCCCTTTCTTGTCCTCCAGATAGTCGCCCTTTTTTTTTTTTGGTTGGTTCCCTCCCTCACGGACGTGCATATCGCAGCCTTGTTTCTGTACCTTAGTTGCTAGCTACAGGACCAAGGTCCCCCTCTCGTAAAGAGTCTAAGATTGAGCGCATGAATCTGAACGTTTTGCAAGCAGAGATGCAGGGAAGCATATCAATCGCGATCTTCTGTACCTTGCCTCAAATAGGTCCAGATTCAGGCGTTCAATCCGATCCTCTTTGCTATTTGGACCTTGCCCCAGTAGTACTATGTAGCTCTGTGCCGCAAGCACTCCTCTTGATTTTTTTTTTTTTTTTGTCCTTGTTAAGAAAAGAAATCCTATTGATCTCCGGGACCAGAAGGGGATCAAGTGTAGTATCTGGTCGGGGGCGAGGTCCCACTAGCAAAGACGATTGGATTAAGTGCCTGAATCTGGACGTGTTTTATGTCGAGATGCAGAAAAGCAGACCACTCGTGGTTTTCTCCACGTCTCGGCAAAGATATCCAGATTCAGGCCTGAATCTGGACTCGCTTTATGGCGAGGTGAAACAATGTCGTGGTTTTCTGCACGTCTCCGCAAATATATCCAGATTTAGGCTTCCAATCGAATCCTCTTTGCTAGTGGGACCTCACCCCTGATCAGGTGCTTTTTTTTTTTTTTTTTTTTCCCCTGCCGCTGATCAGTTCATTATCGGATCTGGCCATTAAAAAAAAAGGAAACACGGAGGATCAAGATCTTCTCTGGTTCACAGCACAGCAGTGTAATGAGAGCTTTGGTTTCCTTCTCTGGTCCCGCGGTGTTCCAGGGACCAAGTCCCACTCAGCGGAATTCCCAATTTCTGAGCGTAGATTATGACAAATGAAGAGTCAGAAATGAAGAATCATCGTAAGTGGGACTTGGCCCCAGATCAAGATCTCCTCTGGTTCCAGATCAAGAGCTCCTCTGGTTAAAAATGTAATGAAAATCAACCATAAGAATTAAAAACAAGCAAAAAAAACACCGGTTCAGTCCCTTGATGAAGTCTTGCAGCGCAGCGAAGCGAAAGCGCGTCGGGAATGTTGCCCTTTTTTTTTTTTTTTTTTTTAGCCTTTCTGATCTTGTTATTGTCCGAGCGAAAGCGTGTGATAAGAACTTTGGTTTCGATGAGTGAAGACGGGGACAGGGTAACGACTGGCCCCGCTATTGTCTATTCTTGTCTATTGTCTATTTTTTTTTTGTTTCTTTGTTTAATTTGGACCCTTCTCGATTTGTTCGTGTCATCCTTGCGCAGGCGGGACATCTATTAAATTTGGAACGATACAGAGAAGATTCTATTGTCTATTCTATTTCTTTTCCTGTTTGCCTGCTGGTCACGAAGAAACAAATCTATAACGAGGGGGATGGGGAACGGAGGTAGTCTCTTCGGACGATCAAGGGATCGAGGCCACAGTGGGGAGATCGAACTGATGAATGAAGAATGGGGAGAGAGAAGGGGGGTGGAGGCTTGACAAAAAAAAGGAAAAGGAAGGATCACCCCAACGGTGTCTTACCGTTATTTGCTCCTTTTGCCTTCTCCTGATTTTTTTCTTTTTCTTTTTTGAAATCTGAAAGGTTTCTCAGTGAGCGTGTGCAGAAGCAATTGGCCATTGAGGTGCTGTTATGCCTACTCTACGAACATGGACGCGTAGCGTTTGGCCTCGCTACTTCAATTTCAATTTCTTCTTCTTCTTCTTCTTTTTAAACCTGAAAGGTTTTTTTGAATTGAACGTAAAGCCATTTTTTTTGGTTCACTCTTACGAGCATGATGTTGCTGCGTGGCAAGATTGGCCGCCACGTGGCAGGCAGGAGCGTTTTTTTTTTTTTTTTAATCCTCGGAAGCACGGAAAATAAGAGTTTTATGTGAAAGGAGACCCCGTTGTTTTTTCCTTTACTCAATACGAAAATTGGACGCCGTATTACCGCGGCTGCTGGCACGGAGTTAGCCGCGGTGCAGCTGGCGGAGATCTGGGAAGGGGTGCGCGGGCCGGCGCAGGGGGGGGGGGGGGGGGGGGGGGGGGGGGGGGGGGGGGGGATGAAATTCCCGCCCACGGTAGCGCTCATAATCGGGCGCTTTGCTGGAGGAAAAAAAATTCCCGCGATGACGACGCGCGTTTGCCGAGGGAAAAAGTTTCTGCGATGGCGGCGCCGCGCTTTCCGGAGGAAATTCCCGCCATTGCGGAAAGGCGAAGGCCTTTTGTTTTTTTTTTGGGTGGATATTACGGTTTAGAACTAGAGAAGTTTTTTTATTACCCACGTTTTTTTTCAGCGCGCGGAAGGAAAACCGCGAGGCGGGAAAAAAGCGCGCGAAAGAGGAAGGAAAATATGAGATCTTGCTCTCCCTTTCCGTGGTTTTCTGTCTCCTTCCCCCCCTTCTCTCTCCCTCCTCCCTCCCTCCTCCTCCCTCCCTCTTCCCTCCCTCCCCCCTCCCCCCTCCCTCCTCCCTCCCTCCTCCCTCCCCGCCGCCGCCGCACGACCTGAGCCATGCGCTCTCAATTCCCTTGGTGTTTCTCTCTATTTCAAGCTGTCCCTTGTTTGCCGTGCCTCTTCTCTTTCACGTCTTCTACGGCCTTGTCTTCCTGTTGTCAATTTTTTCTATTTCTTGTCGAATAAGAAATCGAATAAGACAATGAACTATGGGAAACTTTCCTCTTCCTTTTTAAAAAATTGAACCGTTGATCTTCTGAGTCATTGTGTCCATTCTTTTCATTGCATCGTACAAGGAGGTTTGATTCAGCTACTTGAGTGCGAGAGAGAGAGAGAGAGAGAGAGAGAGAGAGAGAGAGATGAATATGGGTAATTGAGCAAAGCCGGCATCGATCGGTGTCGTGACGGCGGACGATGATAAATGAGTGCTCAGCGCGCAACTCGCGGGGCGGGAAGTACAGGCGTGTTGTACGGTGTTCGTTGAGTGTTTTTTTTATTAATCTAAAGTCCGTACGCATCCGGTGAAGTGCGTGCACTCTCAGTTGCGGGGTGACGCGCGCAATGACGACCTCCTGTGTGGATTTCTGTGTACGCGTTTTTTGTGTATGCGTTTTGTGTGTATGCGTTTTGTGTGTATGCGTTGTGTGTCTGTGTCCGTGCGTGTGTTGTTTGCTATACACAATTCCAGAAAAAAAAAAAAAAAACATGACTCTGTGTG